CTTCAGTACCGAGCACGCGTGGCGCAAAGCAGCCTTCACCGCCAACTCCAATGGTGTCCTCTAAACAACGCGAATTGCCAGCAAAAAGTATAAAGCCAACACTCACTAGACAAAACCACGCTGCGTTAACCCTCGTGTGCACCAATGTTCCCGAATCCAAATCTGGAACAATAAAAGGTAAATTGCAAGACGATCGCAACCAGTGGAGTTTCATCTGCGAGGCAATTAACATTCGGGTTGAGCCTGCAATGCTGCAACGCGTAGAGCGTCACCCGACCTCAGTGCACTCTGGTGAACCTCGAATTCTTCGAGTAACACTAAACTCAGCAGATGAGACAGAGGCTGTCCTGCTCTCAGCAGTTCGTCTTCGCAACTCACCGAGCGGAGTACGCATATTGCCTGATCTACCTTGGAAAGATCGCGCAAAAGAAGCAGTGGAGCAACACGGTATTGCTAATAGAGATAGCAAGAGAACCATATTTGTTCATGGAGTTCCCGAGCTTCTACATTCTTCTGATCACGATGCACAAACACATAACCGAGAGCAGTGGTGCTACATCCGCGAAGCACTCTCTGTAGACAATGTTATTGCCAAATCCCTGACAAGAGTGCCGTCATCACCTAACTACAAGGGCTGCGGTCCAAGGCTAATTAAAGTAACACTACACTCCGAGGGAATGACGCAAGTTCTGTTAGATAGCTGGTTAAAGTTTCGATCTAGGCTGCCAACAGAGATCCGGCTAAAAGCAGCAGGTGTACGATCAAAAGTCGGAAGCAATTCAACGGAACTTGCAAACGTAACAAATTCTTTACTTGCACAGTCCTGCGGAGAGACCAACACAACTGCGCCCACGGCACACAGGAGGACCGAGCACAGCACCAGTGAAACTTCTGTTCAGGAACGCTTAATAATGCCATGCAACACGACTGAAATACATAAACCAAAAAACGATTAATTGCCGGCCACCTAACGGCCGGCTTAAAAGCGAACACAAACTTGACATCTTTCAATGAACTCCTAACAACAAAAGCCCTATCTTGCATGTATACAAACGCTCAAGGCCTTCTAAGCAAGCTGGCAGAACTTAGAGAACTCCATGCCTCACAACCGCGGGACCTCGTCATGATTACAGAGACATGGTTAAACCCTGAGATAACCGACTCTGAGATCAATTTACCCGGTATGTCACTGCTTCGGACCGATAGAACCGGAAGGGGAGGCGGTGTGATTCTTTATTACAATACAAACCTCCGATGTGAAGTTATCGACCACCCAGAAATCAGAGCACCCGATTCGCTTTGGTGCCGCCTATGGTTGCGAAACAAGGGCACATGTCTACTAGCCGTGATTTACCGCCCGCCAAACTCAACTTCGGAAATGGACTCCAAACTGAACCACGTTTTCCAGTTTGCTTTAAACAAGTCCTACACCCACATTCTTATCGCTGGAGACTTTAACGTGCATGACATAGAAACGCCGGCAACCGATGGTATGCAGTTTAAAGCCCGCTTGCAAGAGCTTATTGCTAGCCACCCTCTTTACAACCACGTAACCTCTCCCACTAGATTTCGAACTGCTAACAAGCCGTCGATACTGGATCTTGTGCTCACTAACGAAGAACTCATGGTTGACGGGATAGTTACAAGCACACCACTGGGTCGTAGTGATCATGTTACTCTACTCTTTGACTATATTTGCTATGCGGAGTACCCTGAAAAGGAGGATGATAAAGTGCATACTGTCACGCACCACAATGTGTTGTCTAAGCTTGTTAAGGATACATCCTGGACTTTCTTAACCGAATGCCCCCCAGATGTTGCCTGGGAAACATTTACAAGGACGTTTAGTACACTGGTAGCGCACGCATCAGAGGAGAAGTCCTTCCAACCTAAAAACAAGCGTAATTCATTTCTGAGGAGCAGGACACGTAAATGTATGTCCCGGAGGGATTTGGCATGGCGAGATCACCAGGACTGCCCGAATGCCGAAACGTGGACTGCATACGTGACCCATCGTAACTTCTGTGTGAAACTGATCCGCGAAGACAAGGTCACTCATCAGCAGAAGTTAATGAAGCGCTTCTGTACGAACCGCAAACTTCTGTACAGTCACGTTAACGGCCTTCGAAAGGTAAAGCGGGGGATTCCAGCACTAGTCACGGCTGATGGGTGCACGCGATCAGCAATGGAAGCAGCTGATCTCCTACGGCTTCACTACTCCAAAGCTTTCCAGGAGGTAACGAGCACGAACATTCTCCTCATTCCTACTACTCCTTCATCTGGTTTAGAAAACATCACCTTCACTGCGGAAGCTGTGTTGAAGAAGTTGTTATCCTTGCGTATCCACAGTTCTCCCGGAGCTGACAATATCCGACCAAAGGCTCTACAGGCAGTAGCTAGTGATCTAGCAGCACCACTGGCTATTTTCTATCAGCGATGTCTAGAGAAGAACCGTATTCCACCAGTATGGAAGAAAGGGGTCATCACTCCTATTCATAAAGGAGGTAGCCTCGCTGATCCTGCCAACTACCGCCCAATAACACTACTTCCAGTACTATCCAAAGTGATGGAATCAATCATCGCAGACGCGCTGATGGAATACATGGAAAGCCACAATTTAATAGCCCCAGAGCAACATGGCTTTCGTCAAAAGCATTCGTGTAATACTAACCTATTAATTGCACGTAATAGCTGGACTGAAGCTGTTGATGATGGAGTAGGAGTCGATGTCATCTACTTGGACTTTTCAAAAGCATTTGATCGCTTAAACCATCGCATTCTCCTTTACAAGCTTCGTAATTACGGCATTGGCGACCCAATCCTGAGTTGGATTGACAATTTTCTACAAGAACGACGGCTAGTGGTGAGAGTCCGAGAATCATTGTCTGATGCAATCGATGTGGCGTGCGGAGTACCACAAGGCTCGGTTCTTGGACCTCGTCTATTCTTGGTGTTCATTAACGATTTGGCGAGATCAATTGCCTCCGATTTCCTATTTTTCGCTGATGATATCAAGATATGGCGAAGGATCAGAGGGCCGGAAGACAATGAACGGCTCCAGTGCGATCTTAACACAGTGTCGAACTGGTCACTTCAAAACGCCCTACCGTTCAATGTAGACAAATGTCGCGTCGTACAATTACGCCATTGTCATAACTACACCTATTCACTTGGGACCAACGGACTGCAGAATAGCTCCCAGAAACGTGACCTGGGTGTGGTCCTACAGAGCGACCTCAACTGTTCAAAACAGGCTGAGGTAGCTGCGAGAAGAGGCAACCAGCATGTCGGCATGCTGCGAAGAGCATTCGGGAGATTTGACCCATCAATCTTCCCAATGATGCACAATTCCTACGTGCGCCCGCATGTTGAATACGCTATCCAAGCTTGGCAACCTTGGTTGAAGCGTGACCTAGAAGCGATAGAGGCACCGCAACGGAGAGCAACAAAGAACGTGAAGGGTCTGCGCTACCACTCTTATCACCGAAGGCTGAAGTTGTTGGGAATTTTCAGCGGGCGCTATCGAAGACTGCGCGGTGATCTCATATTAGCCTATCAAATATTGAGTGACCCCAATCACGTATGCAGCCATTTGCTGAAACGTAGCCACAACACGCAGCTCAGGGGTAACTGCCTAAAGTTGAAGGAACAATACAGCCGTCTAGAGTGTCGACGGAATTACTTTTCCCTTCGGGTTTGCAAACCTTGGAACGCACTTCCTGACTCAGTTGTATCCTCTCCTACCCTGGATGTTTTCAAAAAACGATTAGATGTCGCTCTTAGCTCCCAACATTTTGTTACCTAAATTCCTCTACTGTGGATTACGCCAAGGATGCATTTCTACAGGCTTTATGTATCAAATGGACCTAAGTGAGCGACCATATTTTACTTTTCTCACTCTTTACCTCAATGACCACTGCACCCCAGTGTCTTTCTGCATGTTTCCGCCCGATAATTTATTTTAATTTTACACTGATGTTGCTTATCAAACTATTCATATCGGCAGACTTTCGATAGATGACCCAGACATATTTTGATTTTATCATATTCACCTCAACCATCCTACGGGACGTGTCAAGCACTTGCTTTTATCCCGTGATAAATCATTGTTCATTGTTCATTGTTCATAGGTGCCATGCGTAGGACATGACCGAGCCATCTTAACTGGCGCAACAAAACCAGTTTGTTGAAGGAAATACTCGCATTTCCCAAGACGCGACGTCGAACGTCATTACTGGTAACTCGATGTTGCCACCGAACACGGGCGATCCTCCTTAAGCAACCGTTATCGAACGCAGAAAGACGACGCATGTCTTCCACGCGAATCGGCCAGGACGCGCTCCCATACAACAATACTGAGCGAACTGACGCGCTGTAAACTCGGCCTTTTAGTGAGAATGAGACGTCGCGACGACGCCACAAGTGCCTCAGATTGACAAATGCTGATCGAGCTTTAGGGATACGAAGCGAAACTTCTTTGTTGATTGTGCCGTTAGCGGAAACACAGCTCCCAAGGTAGACGAAACTATCTACCTGTTCAAGTTGTGCACCTTGGAGAGTGAGCACGGGTGCAGGTGAAAGCCAATCCTTGAGCAGTACTTTACACTTCGATGGGGCGAAGCTCTTGCCATACTTAGATGCTTCAACCGCCAAACAAATGGTGTTTTTCCTCTGTGAGGAAAAACACCATTTGTAGGAAAAAATGGGGTATAAACTGAGCAACGGGGTTCATGCGATGGATAAGGTACAATCATCCTGCTACCCAATGTGTCCACCACTGAACTCTAAGCAAAAGACAAAGCTGTGTGCGTAAAAAGATGTTTATTTTATCTTCTAATTTACCGTATTTATTATATGGCTTGAGTCTTATAGTTTGAATGCATTGGCGGTGGATGAACATATTTATTTATTTATGTACTGCGAGATATCCGCCTGGGAATTGGCGCGAAAGTCTGCTCTCTTAATTCTATTAGGCAGCTGCGAAGGTCACAGTCAGAAGATTATTTCGATAATTGTTTGCCGCCCTTTTTACCGCGACGTTTCCTCCTCACTCGGATTCCTCGAGAGGCCATCATTGTTCGCCACCATGATTGAATTTGTATGATTGACATCATAACCTTTTTCGCGTACTCCTCTCTGACTCGTTTCGCTTCTTTTTCGCGGTCATCTTTTATCAATATTTCAGTGTAATTTTCATACTGTTTCGTAAGCTCAGCGCGTAGCGCTTGTCGCTCTTCTAGCTGCTTCCGCATCAGTTCCAATTTTAAAGCTAGTTTGTCTGGGTGGTCATTTTTTGGCACTAAATCGAAGAGATTAACCTTTTCTGAAATATCAGCGCACAACCATGAACTCGTCTCCTCTCCTACACGTAAAGACTGTGAAATAAGGCCTTTGATGTATTCCACCTCACTACTGCAAATTTTGAAGCGATCACTATATGCATCCAACCTGCGCTGTAACTTTGCAGAGTATTGCTTCGTTTTATACTGTATAGTCATTTTTGACATTTCTCTGAGCTCTTGAAACTCATGTTTCAGATTTTCCAGTATGTTGAAAAACTCAACAGAGTCCTTCTCAACAGCGTGCTGCAGTTCACGCATATCACCCTGTAATTTGGTTAAACTTTGTTCTTTCTCTGCGGCCGAACTGACAAAAGTTGCAAGTTTGTCCAGTTCTGATTGTTCCTGCTGGCAATACTTCTCCAAAGTGGTAAAAGTCCCCGTTTCGTCTAACTCAAACAGAACATTTCTTAGGGTTGCCAAAACACGTCCTACTATATCCAAATATTTGACTCTTGTGCCTTCCTCATCATTGAGTTTGCGGAATGTGCCGTCTGGTAACTCCAAGTAATCTTCGCTACGTGCCTTCTCATAGCGAAGCAGAGTTTGGAAAAAGATTTTATTTAGTTCGGTTAGTAGAGCATCAGGGCTAACTTGACCACACATTCCAGAAGCGGTGCCATACTGAGACGGAAAGTTATGCTTACCCATTCCAGACAATAACTCCACTTCCTTACACGCATCGCTGAACACGGCTAGTAAGGATAGACACTCGGATGGCGCAAAAAGGTGCTGCGACATTCTTACGAGTAATTTCGGTGAGGCAGCTGTGATGTGCTTCTTGATTCAGCTGGTCGATAAGTCCCGTGATCACTACCTACTACTATCCGTTTGAAAAGCGCAAAAAGATGACGAACAATGATAAATGCATGCATTTTGTATTGTCTCCTCAGAACGGCCGACTGTCTGGCCGATGAACTAGCCTTAATTAAAGTAACCCTTATGTCGAACGGCTACCCTCGAAGATTTATCGAGAAACTTTGTCAAATGAGAGTGCCGAATGACTTGATACATGAGATAGCAAAACATAAGGTCTATATCGATTTACCTTTCCGAGATGAATTTGTCACGCTAAAGACGACCAACTGGCTAATAGCAGCTACGCAGGAAAGTTACTACGCTGCTCAAGTCCTTGTAATCAGTCGAAGCAGAAGCTTGACGGTTGTTCCTACGAAGGAACTTCAGCCTCTCGGGGCCAGCTCCCATTGTGTATTCCAGTTCGTGTGTGACTGCAGAACTAGTTACATGGGCAGAACTGATAACCAGGCAATTAGAATGAATCCCCATTCAAAACTTCATTATTACTAGAAAGGGATTTCACAATAGCTGTAACAGTATTCAGCTAAGGCTTCGTTTTCGAGCGGTGGAAAGCCACTCTGACGCTAGTTGCACGCAATAACACAAGTGGCGTGCCAAGCACAACAGCACGAAGAAAAGAAAGTATGGCTGAACCCAACGTGTACTGAGTGGATCTACAAGGAATGGAGAGCAGGTAAGCAGCGGCAGAAACTAACGGTTCCATAATGAAAGCGTACACGAACATTGTGTACAGCAAAAGCGTGCACGGATACATGCGACGAAACATGGGACGACCATCCTACCGTGCGGCCGCACTTTAACTCATCTCTCGCTTTGCCCTCTGTGGCCACTCCAATTCTCCCCACACAATATTGCGCGTGCGCTCGTTCGAACCAGGTCGACGAGCTCTACTCAGTGCTTCCCAACTCCTGGATCTAACCTGTGTGGATTATACACTTGCTCCAGTTCCCAGTTTTCGGCATATTCTTTGCCGAATTCCACTTGTGTAACTACATCAGACCGGTCTTTCGGAAAAGATTTTGGTCTCATTCGGAAGAAGAAGTTGAGGACTCCCCAACTACGCGGCAACCATCCCTGTAAGTTGCAGCATAACAAACTTACAGCCTTTTTGCTCCGCTCATCAAGTGAGCAGCTCTAGGGACGCTTATCAGCGCTCCACGTGCATCGTCGCTTAAGGCAGGCCGACTAACACACGCTGCCGCTTTGTGTGTGTGTGTGTGTGTGTGTGTGTGTGTGTGTGTACCACTGCAAGTCGATTGATCGCTGAATCCGACAGTCTGCGCGTTACTACTCCCATCTGCCTCTCCGCCTGACCTTGGTGCGGTTGAACAATTCAATTCGTGTGCGTGTTCTGACCTGTTGGTGCGTCACCCCTAGCGCAAAGTACACTCATCAAGGTGAGCGCTTAGATCGGCTTTGCTGTAAACAACAAGAGGACGACTAGCATTCCAATGATTCAACGTCGCCTATGTTGCGCAGACAACTGCAGTAAACTGCTTAAGATCAGTATTATCTGTTCTAGCTGCATTAGATCGTACTGTCCGCAATGTGCAAGCAAATCCGTCCAAGAAGTGAGGCAGACAAACCAAGTTGCTGACACAATTTGGTTTTGCCCAACATATCAAGTCATCCCAGTTGTCAACTGTATATCTTTGCTCATGAAAAAATGCGATAGGATGACTGAAATAATCGCGCAATTTGTAAATACTAGGATCGTTTCCTCGGAGGTAAATATGGCCACGATAATACCTCACCCGGCCAAAGTAAGCTCTGAGTCTAAACCGAAGAAAAGAGCTAGACGCTCCAACCGCACTGCAAAGTCTGTGACTCTAAATCCACTGGGTCACCTCACTCCCACAGGTGGGCAAGACTCAAACATGCTTGTTTCCACTTCTCCAACCATTGACGCTTCACTTGGAGATTCAGCCACGACACTGACAGCTCAGAGCCGAAGGAAATCCGGTGCAGATAACAAGCAGGTAACGTACGCATCGATTGCCTCGACAAACACACCGCGAGAGACACACATAGGTCCATCTTCAGTACTGAGCACGCGTGGCGCAAAGCAGCCTTCACCGTCAACTGCAGTGGTGCCATATAAACAACCCGGATTGCCGGCAAAAACTATAAAGTCAACACTCACTAAACAAACCACGCTGCGTTAACTCTCGTGTGCACCAATGTTCCCGAATCCAAATCTGGCACAATAAAAGACAAGTTGCAAGACGATCGCAACCAGTGGAGTTCTATCTGCGAGGCGATTGGCATTCGGGTCGAGCCTGCTATGCTGCAACGAGTAGCGAGTCACCCGACCTCATGGCATTCTGGTGAACCTCGAATTCTTCGAGTAACACTAGACCCACCAGATGAGACAGAGGCTGCCCTGCTCTCAGTAGTTCGTCTTCGCAACTCACGGAGCGGAGTGTGCCTATTACCTGATCTACCTTGGAAAGATGGCCCAAAAGAAGCAGTTGACCAACGCGGCATTGCTAATAGGGATAGCAAGAAAACAAAATTTTTTCATGGTGTTCCAGAGCTTCTGCATTCTTCTGATTACGATGCACAAACACATGACTGAGAGCAGTGGTGTTACATCCGCGAAGCAATCTCTGTTGACAATGTTATTGCGAAATCCTTGACAAGAGTTCGGTCATCACCCTACTACAAGGGCTGCGTTTCAAGGCTAATGAATGTAATACTACACTCCGAGGGAATGACGCAAGTTCTGTTGGATAGCTGGTTAAAGTTTCGAGCTAGGTTGCCAACAGTGATCCGGCTAAAGGCAGCAGGCGAACGACCAAAAGTCGGAAGCAATTCAATGAAACTTGCAAACACAACAAGTTATTTATTTGCACAGTCCTGCGGAGAGCTCGACACAACAGCGCCCACGTCACACAGGAGGACCGAGCACAGTACGATTGAAACGTCTGTTAAGGAACACTCAACAAGGCTATGTAACTCGACTGCAATTCATAAACCAAAAACGATTAATGGCCGGTCACCTAACGACCGGCTTAAAAACGAACACAAACTTGACATCCACCAATGAACTACTAAACACAAAAGCCATATCTTGCATGCACACAAACGCCCAAGGCCTTCGAAGCAAGTTGGCCGAACTTAGAGAACTCCATGCCTCACAACCGCGGGACCTCGTCATGATTACAGAGACGTGGTTAAACCCTGAGATAACCGACTGTGAGATCAAGTTACCCGGTATGTCGCTGCTTCGGACCGGTAGAAGCGGAAGGGGTGGCGGTGTGATTCTTTACTATAATACAAACCTCCGATGTGAAGTTATCGATCACCCGGAAATCCGAGCTCCCGATTCGCTTTCGTGCCGCCTATGGTTGCGAAACAAGGACACATGACTACTAGCCGTGATTTATCGCCCACCAAACTCAACGTAAGAAATGGACTCCAAACTGAACCGCGTTTTTCAGTTTGCTTTGAACAAGTCCTACACCCACATTGTTATCGCGGCAGACTTTAACGTGCACGACGTAGAAACGCCGGCAACCGACGGCATGCAGTTAAAAGCCTGCTTGCAAGAGCTTATTGCTAGCCACCCTCTTTACAACCACGTAACCTCCCCCACCAGATTTCGAACTTCTAACAAGCCATCAATACTCGATCATGTGCTAAGTAACCAAGAACGCCTGGTTGGCGGGATAGTTACAAGCACACCACTAGGTCGTAGTGACCATGTTACTCTATTCTTTGGCTATATATGCTATGCGGAGTACCCTCAAAAGGAGGATGATAAAGTGCAAATTGGCACGCACTACAATATGTTGTCTAACCTTGTTAAGGATACATCTTGGACGTTCTTAACCGAATGCCCCTCCCCAGATGTTGCCTGGGAAACATTAACAAGAACGTTTAGCACACTGGTAGCGCACGCATCGGGACAAAAGTCCTTCCATCCCACAAGCAAGCATACGTCAATTCTGAGGAGCAGAACACGTGAATGTATGTCCCGGAGGGAGTTGGCACGGCGCATTCACCAGGACTGCCCGAACGCCGAAACCTGGACTGCATACGTGACACATCGTAACTTCTGTGTGAAACTGATCCGCGAAGACAAAGTCACTCATCAGCAGAAGTTAATGAAGCGATTTTGCACTAACCGCAAACTCCTGTACAAGCATGGTAACGGCCTTCGAAAGGTAAAGCGAGGGGTTCCAGCGCTAGTCACGGCTGACGGGTGCACGCGATCAGCAATGGAAGCAGCTGATCTCCTACGGCTTCACTACTCCCAAACTTTCCAGCAGGTAACGAGCACAAACATTCTCCTCATTTCTAATACTCCACCATCTGGTTTAGACAACATCACCTTCACTGCGGAAGCTGTGTTGAAGGAGTTGTTATCCTTGCGTTTCTACAGTTCTCCTGGAGTAGATAACGTCGGACCAAAGGCTCTACAAGCGGTAGCTAGCGATCTAACAGAACCACTAACTGTTTTCTATCAGCGACGTCTAGAGGAGAAGCGTATTCCACCAGTATGGAAGCGAGGGATCATCACTCCTATCAATAAAGGAGGTATCCGCATTGATCCTGCCAACTACCGTCCAATAACACTACTTCCCGTACTATCCAAAGTGATGGCATCAGTCATCGCAGACGCGCTGATGCAGTACCTGGAAAGCCACAATTTAATAGCCCCCGAGCAACATGACTTTTATCAAAAGTATTCGTGTCATACTAACCTATTAATTGCACGTAATAGCTGGACTGAAGCTGTTGATGATGGAGTAGGAGTCGATGTCATCTACCTGGAGTTCGCAAAAGCGCTTGATCGCTTATATCATCGCATTCTTCTTCAGAAGCTTCGGAATTACGGCATTGACGACCCAATCCTGAGTTGGATTGGTAATTTTCCACAAGAATGACGGCTAGTGGTGATAGTCCGAGAATCATTG